CCTTGGTAATCCTGAGATCAGTTTTATTCTTTCTTACTTGATGACTGGGAAAACTGCACTCATGTCTGACTGTGATGTTTTCCAAGCCATAGCACTCTCTTCTCTTACCAGCTAACAAAGTGGTGAAAGTGGCAGAATGCCAGTCCCAACTGTCCTAAGGCTCAGGACAAAGAGTCCTCCAGACATCTGAGTGTCCCAGTGCTCAAAGAATAACTTGGTCCTCACCTCAATGTTCCAGACATGGTTTCCTGGCTGTTAAAGCTTATTTTATGATTAGATAATTGCCTTGAACCACTCATGAAAATATTTTCTGTAAATATCCATGAGTTGATCCAAGTAGACTCATTAACATTGTATACTGTCAGTTAATATCAATCTCTCATGTTTCCTTTATGGCTTGAAAATGTGAGCTTTGCAAATACCGGTCAGTGGAGGGTGGGAAGAGCATCACAAATGGAGAGGAGAGGAGAGCAAATGCAAAAGTCCTGTGATGTAAGCAAGCTTGGCTTGTGCAAGAATCAGTCAAAAGGCCAGTCCATCTGGGGCAGCTTAAAGGCAGAAAGAGGGAGAAGAAATAAGCTTTGAGTGGAAGGTCATGGTGTGAACCACAATGTGTATCATGAGGGTGAAGGATTTTTCCAATTAATTTTTTATTGGGATATGTTCAGTGTACAGAGGGGATTCATTGTGAGAATTCTATCTAGGCTTATATTGTACATTGGTAAAATCACCTCCACTGTCTCTCCCCCTCGCCCCTCTCCCTGTTCCACTTAAAACTATTGCAAAATGTTTCTTTGTTCTATTTTTTATAAGTATTATGAAGTTCATCAACTATATTCCCTCACCTTAATCTTCTTTGTTCAAATCCTCTTTGCACAAGAACTCCCCAGCCACACTGTACCTATTTTACAGTCCTGTCTTTCATTATTAATATTTAAGTCTATGTTCAAAGGGGTTTCTCAGTGTATCCCTGCTATGAGTACACTTTACTTTGGTTCTTTCAGTCCCTTCCATTACTCATCCTTACACCTTTTCCTCCCACTCCCACTTTTCAACAGCTTTCAATACACATCCTTATATCCTCCACCTTCACAGATGTTAAGTATTTCGATATTGCTGACACTCTACTATTCTCTTTTCCTTTCCCTCCTTCCCTGAGTTCTAAAGAGTAGTTCCACTATTACAAACATGTTCTTTGTATGAGTTTGTATGTGATCATGATTGTTTTTATGTATATCTTTTATATCTATCTTCCATATGTGAGAGAAAATGTGGCATTTGTCTTTCTGAGCCTGGCTTTCTTCACTTAACATGATGTCTTCCAATTGCAACCTTCAAATCATATGGTGTCATTCTTCCTTATGGCTGGGAAAAACTTCATTTTTACGTATACCACATTATCTTAACCCAATCAACAGTTGTAGGGCATCTGGGTGGTTTCTGCATCTTGGCTATTGTATCTTGGCATATGTTCCTTCAGATATACGCCCAGGAGCAGTATCAGAATCAAATGACAGTTTTATCTTTTGCTTTTTGATTAATCTTCATACTACTTTCCATAATGGTTCTACTAATTTGCATTATCACCAGCAGTGTAGAAGGGTTCCTGTTTTCACTGCATCCTCGCCAGCAATTGTTGATATGGCCATTCTAGCTGGAGAGAGATGAACTTTAATGTAGTTTTGATTTGCATCTGTTTTATAGCCAGGGAAGTTGAACACTTCTTAATGTATTTATTGGTCATTTATACCTCTTCCTTTGAGAATTCCCTATTTAACTCATGTGCCCATTTCTTCATTGGATGTTGATTCTTTGGGGCTGAGTTTTTTGAGTTCCCTGTAGATTCTGGATATTAGTCCCTTATCAGATGAAAAGCTGGAAAAAATTTTCTCTCATTCTGTGGGCTGTCTCTTGAGACTGGTGACTGTTTATTTTACTGTGCAGAAACTCTTTAGCTTGATGCAATCCCATTTGTTCATTCTTTCTCTTAGATACTGAGTCTTTTGAGTTTTATTTAAGAAGCCACTCTCTGTGCCTATATGTTCCCATGTATTTCCTACTGTTTCCTGTAATTGTTTCAAAGTTTTGGGCCTTATATTAAGGTCTTTGATCCACTTTGAGTTGATATTGATACGGGGTGAGAGACAGGGGTCTAGTTTCATTTTTTTTTGCATGCAGATATCCAGTTTTCTCAGCAGCATTTTTTGAAGAGGTTGTCTTTTCTCCATTGTGTGTTTTGGGCTCCTTTGCCAAAGAGAAGTTGGCTGTAATTGCATGGGTTTATATATGGGTCTTTTATTCAAAGCCATTGGTCTTCATGTCTATTTTTGTGCCAAATATGGTGTTTTTATTGTTATGGCTCTGTAGTATACTTTGGGAATTGTGATATTTTTAGCATTGGATATTTTGCCCAGAATTGCTTTGACTATTTGAGGTCTTTTGTGTTTCCACATGTGTTTTAGGATTGATTTTTCTATCTCTGTGAAGAATGTCATTGGGATTTTAATAGGGATTGCACTGAACATATAGATTGCTTTTGGTAGTATGGCCATTTTCACAATGTTGATTCTACTAATTCATGAGAATGGGAGATGTTTTCTTTGATTTCTCTCTTCAGTGGTTAATAGTTTTCAATGAAAAAGTCTTTGGTTTCCTTCATTAAATTTATTCTAAGGTACTTTATTATTTTTGAGGTTATTGTAAATGGGATTGTTTCCCTGATTTCTTTCTCAGTCTGTTCATTATTGGTATATAGGAATTGTACCATGAGGTGAGGGATTTTGAATGAATGAATGCCACCTCTCCCCACTCTAATACCATCAGAAGCTTCCAGGTGCATTTAGAATACAAGGAAGGCTCTGCAGTTGGCAGCTCCATTCTTTGTACCATGCATCTCTCTAGCCTCATTTCTGGTGTAAGCTACTGGCTCATGGCTTCAGCCAGGCTGGTTCTACTTGTTTCTTGAACACATCTGACTCTTTTCCATCTCAGGCACTTTCCATATCTGCCCTTCTGTCTGGATGAGCCTTTCCATCCATTTCTTCAGCTCCCATCTGTCTACTTCCTCCTCCTTTCCTTTCTCCAGGTCTCACAGGAGCCTCCCCAAATTCCCAATTAAAAGTAACAATGCTCTAGTTATTTCTTATGTCAGTCTGTGTTCTCCTTTATAGCCATGATCACAGTAAAGAGTTATCTGCCTCTTCCGGGTGTATTCATCTCATATCCATCCTTTGTGGAGTCTCAGTATTGCAAGGGCAGGTGCCTGATTCATACACTGCTAGCCTCCCACCTACACATTGTAAGTGCTCAATAAATCCTTGCTCCTAAATGAATGCATGAAAACATGCATTAAGCAAGATCCCAGTAGCAGCCAATAGACCTGTAAAGGAAAGAGGTGACCAGCAGGGACTGGAAGCCTGGATATCAGAGAGAAGAATGTGGACAGTGGTTAGCAAAGACAGGAAGTTGGGGATGGAGTCAGGAGCTGTCCAGAAAACAGAACCAAGTGGACTTAATGACTGATAGAACATTGAGAGGAGACAGGGACAGCAAAGTTTCACATTGGGAGTCACATCGTGGGTAGCTAGAAAGGACATACTGCAGTTAAACAGGCAATTATGTGCTCAGTGGCACCACCTACCTGTTGGAGGACTGAATGGTAGCTTTGGATTTTTGATTCCTGGTCTGTGATCCAGATGTGGGGTTTAGTTAGTGCCATAGGATGTTTCTCCTGAGCTGTCCTGACCATTGCTTTAATAATTCATAGATGCAACCAGCACTTTATAATTTAACAGCATTTCACATCAGGGTTTGTGTGAATGCTTGTAGCTATCCTGAGAGGCAGGAACTATCAACATATGAGCTGAAGATGAAGAAATAACAGCTCATACTTTGGTTTGTGTATCAAAAGCCTAATCTTGGAAATTGAGGTACTTGAGAGACTCTTAGATGGGCCTGTCCAGGAAGCAGATGAAAATAAAAGTGTAACACTTAGAAACAAAATTTGGCTGGAGATGTCTTATTGTGAATGATGATACAATTTTATGAATTTTTGGCACACATTGGGTCCCAGGCTCAGCCTGGAGGCAGTATCATATGCACGATGGTTAAGAACTAAAAAAATCCTACTGTATGACCCTGCTGTACCACACCTGGGCATATATCCAAAGGAATGAAAGTCATTATTCAATAGAGATATCTGCACACCCATGTTTATAGCAGCACTATTCACAATAGCCAAACAATAGAATTAGCTTAGGTACCCAGAAACCAATGAAAAGATAAAAATGTGAATATACATAATGGAGTATTAATCAGTCATAAAAAAGAATGAATTTATGTTGTTTTCAGAAAAGTGGATAGAACTGAACATCAATTATCATGTTAAGTGAAATAAACCAGACTCAGAAAGACAAATGTCACACTTTTGCTCATATGCAGAGTCTAGGTTTTTAAGACAGATGTGAATTTAGAAGGGGAGTCTACTTGGTGGGACTGGGAAAGAAAAAGAGGCAGGAGGAAGACAAGAGAAGGTGAGAGAAGGATGAATATAATTGAAGTACATAGCATGGAAGTATGAAAACATCATAATGAAACCCATTATTTTGTATAATCAATAATTTTGCAAAGTAACTACTTTCTCAAATCATAATAAAATCTAGGCTCTGCAATTCCTCATGGTGTAAACACAGTTTCCTCCTGTGTAAATAGGGGTGTAAAAATCTATTGTTGGATTTATGAGAACCAACTAGCATAAAGTGTGTTGAACTATTTAGCCTGGAATCTGGCATATGTTCAACACATGCTTAATTTCTTATTCTTCTCATCATAACTGCCTCTCCATGATGCCATTTATGGAAGTTATTTTTAATTATTATTTGTGGATGGAAAGAAAAATGGCACATATGACATTGAGTTTAGAAGTTAGTGGCAAGAAGCAGGGGACCTGTGAGAGTAAAATATTTGTCTTCCTTCAGTCCAGTGAGAAGAGGTCAGCTAAGATGAATCAATGGTCCAGTTATCTGTTGGGATGGACAACCTTCCTCCTCTATTCCTATGAGACAAGTGGGGGTGAGTATATTGGAAAATGATGGGGAGGATTTAGAAACTTGGAAAATGGTCTGAAGTCAAGATTACTGGATCTATGTAGGGTGGGGAAGGCTTAGCAGAGATCTCAGATAGCCCTAGGGTTTAGATCCTGCATTTATGTCTTATTTTCTCTGTGATCTTGACCAAGCCATGTAGCCTCTTTGATGTCAGTTCCTACTCTGTGAAATGCAAATAATGGCATTTACTTCCTGGGATTATTTTGAAGATTTAATGAAATATTGGGCACAAGCATTTTTCATAATGCCCAGCATATTGTGTGTGTGGAATGTGAATAGGTTGATTAAAAAAAAAAGAGGCCATGCTGGGTGCAGTAAGTTATACCTATAATCTCAGCTCCTTGGAGGCAAGATCAGGAGGATCACAGTTCAAGGCCAGCCCAGCAAAAAGTTAGCAAGACTCCATCTCAACCAACAATCTGGATGTGATGGCATGCACCTGTCATCTCAGTTACATTGGGAGGTCATATGTAGGAGGGTTATGTTCCGAGGCTGGCCTTTGGAAAAATATTCAAGATCCTACCTGAAAAATAACTAAAGCAAAAAAAGAGGATGGGGGTATGATTCAAGTGGAAGAGCACCTGCCTAGCAAGCACAAGGACCTGAGTTCAAACGAGAGAGAGAGAGAGAGAGAGAGAGAGAGAGAGAGAGAGAGAGAATAATAAAATTTTTGCCCTCAGAACCAAACTTGAGTTCCCTAATTATACCCCTAATGTATCTAGGAGTGTAAATTAGCCACCAAAAGATATTATGGTAAGCATGTAAACAGATCCGAGAGGCTTTGGTTTTATATAGCTCACTCAAGCCCTGCTAGGACATTCTTCACAATTACACCCCTTTTCTTCCTGACAAAGGCCTTTTCCTTTGGTTAAACTTCAAGAAACACTCACATATCCAGACATGTAAGGTCTTCAAAGATCATGTTCTGTATTTCAGAGATTCCTAATCTGGGTTTAATAGTACACAAAATCCTGAATTTGTATTCTAAAATATGTATATTTATCATGGTAGTGAGAATAGTTTATTGTAACAAACAGCTGGGAGCTGGTGGCTCATGCCTGTAATCATAGCTATTCAGGAGACAGAGATCAGGAGGATTACAGCTTCAAGCCACCCTGGGAAAATAGTTTGCAAGGCCTTATCCTAATAAAACCATCACAAACAAAATGGCTGCTGGAGTGGCTCAACATGAAGGCCCCGAGTTCAAACCCCAGTGCTGCAAAATAAACAAACAATCAGGAGCTTAACATGAAAACTTTTCTATTTCCTTCCTATGGTTTAGATCTTAAACATCCTCCAATGGTCCATGAGTTGAAGGCTTGGTCCTCAGTCCATGGTGCTGTTGGGAAGTGGTAGAGACTGTAAGTAGTAGGGCCTTTGGGGAGACCTTCAGGTCATTGGGGGCATGACCTTGAAGGGGATTATGAGACTCCAGCCCCTTCTTCACTCTCTTTCACTTCCTGTCCATGAGGTGGGTGGTTTTGCTGTTGCACACAATCCTAACATTATGTGCTGCTCCACCTCAGACCTGAAGGCAATGGAGTCAATCAGTCATGGACTGGAACTTTTGAAACTCAGAGCTCAAACTAACCTTTTCTCTTGATAAGTTGAATATTTTGGGTATTTGTTATAGTAATATAAAATTGACTGACACACCCCTGCAAAGTCCAGTGAGGGTGCTTACACCTGGACTGCAGGTAATATTCCAAGAGGTCATTCAGGGATCCAAGATCTTTCCATCTTAGAGTTCCACCAACCCCTGAGGACTCAGCATTCTCTGAGGATTCTTTGCTTTGAGATGAGAGATAAAGGCCAAGAGTCTGGGGGACCTTGGAGGAGAGTTTATTTTTTGGTTTTGTTCTTGGCTAGGCTGGAATTACCATACAGAACTTCCCTCCACATCCACTAGACACTTAGCAGCAAGCAAGTCTTGGAAATGTAGTCTAGCAGCGCATTTGGGAAGAAAGTGAAGCTGATTGTGGTGAACACACAACCTTCTCACAACTACAAGAGCATATAAGTATTTTCCTAGAAAGAAGTTTTGGGTTCTAAGTCCCTAAAAGGTTAGAAGCCCATAGTTCATTAAGATAAGGAACAGTTTACTTGATGGAGTGTCAGATTTCCTAGTTATAGTCTCTTTTTGGTCATGCCTCCCTGAGGACCACACCCACATTCCTATGGGCGAACTCTGTAACCCTAAGTCCTCTCTGCACATACTTACAAACACATCTATTCAGTACATGTTTACTGAATAACACCTAATTTTCAGGCTCTGTATTATGGACCAAGAAGTCAGGAATAAATAAAATCCACTCAGGATTACGCCTTTCACTCAGAGAGTCCACAATGAATGCGAATGGGATATACAGATATTTTTAAATTGGTAAGTGCATTTATATAGATTTTCTCTGAGTACTGTAAGTGTGAGGAAGAGTGTTGGTGCAGACTAAACCAAGACTTCATGGGTAGGGAGCAGGGGATAAAGCCAGGAAGAGAAGAAAGGCATTCAGAGTAGGATGAAGGACACAAGCAAAACCCCAAAGACAAGAGAGAGCAGAGGATAAGGTCAAAGAGATGTTAATCGGAGAGTGAGAACAAGCAGGTCACCAGGATCTGGATTATGGAGGATTGTGGCCTAGTTAAGAAGATTAAGCCATCTGGTGGATTTCTGTACAGATGGCTAATAGTATTCATTATGTGTGGATTCTTACCGACAACTCCTAAGGATAATCTTAATTCCATGCACAGGGCATCTGCCCTCCTGCCTCACCACAAAATTCCATATATTCAGTGGTGGCTGTCATTGTGAGAAAAATATTGACGATGATGATGGTGGTTGTGCTGGTGGAGACAGCTAATATTTGTTTAGCAGAAGCCATGCTCCAAGTATTCTTCTAAGTACTTTCCAGATTTAAACTTCATAACAAGACCCAACATTTCTGAGACCCAGATGTGGGAAATGCTGTGTTATTTAAGAATCTTTAAATGCATCAATCTTTTGGTGATACTTGGAGATGGAAGTTTCTTTTCTCCACTCTCTACCAGTCAGTCCTTCAACAGGTCATGTAGAGTAGGAATCTCACCCCAAACAAGGGAAAGGGTGACTAAATTATCAAGCATGAAGACAGAAAGCATGTCTTGTCCATCAGTATTGGTAGAGGAGCAACTTTTATAACAACCCTATAATGTAAGTGACTTAACTCACTAGAGGTTCATGTCAAGTTCATCTAACAGTTTAATATGAATGTTCAATGCAAAACCTTTTATACTGGTATTGATAGAACAAAGTCATTCTGCATTTGTCTTTAGTATCCCCCAGGGATTCAGTGTTCTTTCTGTGCAGTCCTCTTTCTCAGAGTTTCCCAACTTGGCCATGTTGACATTTGGGGCCAGGTGGTTCATCCCTCTTGGGATCTTTCCTGTGCATTGTAGGAAGTTGAGTATCATTTCTGGCCTGTGTGTGATAGTTGCTAGAGCCCAGCTACCAACCTCCTTCCACCACCAAATTTAACAACTAAAAACGTTTCTAGGCTGGAGGTATGGCTCAAGTGGTAGAACACCTACCTAGCAAGTTCAAAGCCCTGACTTCAAACACCAGTACTACTAAAAATGTCTCCAAAAATCATCTAATGTCCCTAGAGGGGGTAATAATTACCTCTCTTTCTCTATTGAGAACTGCTGCTCCAATTCATCCAGAAGACAGAGGAGAACAATAGAACAGAGGACTCCTTGGGACTTATTTTGAGCCAGGAAGCAAACATCAGACATCATTTCTATCCACAATCTATTGCATATGCAATTAGAGAATCATAGTATCCTACTAAGAGAGAAAAGAAGAAGAGGGCAAGAAGGGAAGTTGTGATCCCAAACTAGCATATGAGAAAGCTGAGCTTGGAAGCATTCTAGTTTGGCTCCAAAAAAGGGTATTAACTTTAAATTATTCCTTGCATCATGTGGGTCTTTATGTCATGAGAAATTTGGGCTAGAACAGCATTGTGTGTTTTGGGGACCTTGAGTCTTTAGTACTATTGAGTGGTTTAAAAAAACATAACCTCATATTTTCTGTATTTCACCTTGCATTTGCAATATTAACTTGTCTGAGGAGTCTTTTATTAAAGAAACCCACTTAACTATATTTTGTGTGGCACTTTCAAACTTATTTAATTCTGTCAGTTGTTTCCTTGATTCTTCTTCTCCTTCTTTTTTTTTGCAATGCTGTGGATCAAATCCAGGGCATTGTGCATGCTAGGCAAGCACTTTACCACTGAACTACAGCCTGACTTCTTTGTAGGTTGTTTCTTGAGCATCTACTATAAGCAAAAGTTACTTCTGTGGGTTCTGGGGACACATTGAGTAAAAGATGAAGTTCTTACAGAATAATAAAAAGAAATCAAGGGTTATGTTTTCCAGACCTAAGTGCCATAGGATGTAACTTGGATGAGTAACTGTAAGATACACCTACATCCCACCAACACTATTACTTACTCAACATTTTTCCTTAAACTTGCTCCCTTTTCTTTACTTTCACAAATTAATCAGTTTTGTAACAACAAAGCACTACTACTTTCCATATGTAGGAAATAAAAATAAAAGTAAACACTGAAAAAGCCTATTATTAAATTCCTCTAGTTACTATCTCCAAATAAGGCTTTGAGCTGAGTCCTTCCCTCTTGTTTTTTAAAGGGAAATTAATAAGTATTAGAGATGTCAGCATAGAAATAGAAATATCAGCATTAAACTGAATCTTCCTCTTTTGTGTAATCAGGAGGATTGAAAAGATCATTGGTAAAGGTTGATTTTGTTCTGACTTCAAAATTACTTAATGTGTGTTCCTATATTACTTAATGTGATCTTGTCCACCAAAATATATCTCATGCAACATTGAGAAAGAGTGGTCAGGAGGAATAATATATTTTGGTTGCCTTCATTGTATATATGAAACTCTTTCCCAATTCTTCCTCCTCCTCCTTACCTCCCCCATCTCTCCCCTGTCTCTCTAAACTCAGGGCCTTGTGCTTGCTAGGCAGGTGCTCTCCCACTTGAGCTGCACCCCCATCCCTCCTCCCCAAACTGGATCTACTCTTACATGTCATGAGGAAGTTGGACGCTCATCCTAGGTGTGCAGCCTTAAGACCACTTTAACACAATAGACTACTATAACACAATACCATAGACTAGTGGCTTATGTACAATGGAAATTGTATTTGTTTCAGTTTTGGAAGTTGAAACATCCAAGATCAAGTCATCAGCAGATTCAGTGTCTGACGAGGGCCCTCCTCTAGGGTTCAGAGATGGTGTCTCCTCACTATAATTTTATCTCTCTGGTTTACTTTTATGAGCCAATCACCTCTCAAAGGCTCCACCTCTTAAAAGGTCTGATACATGGTTCAAGCGGTAGAGCACCTGGAGAGCAAGCAAGAGGCATTCAGTTCAGTTCCCAGTGCCACCCCCCCCAAAGAAACCCAAAGTCTTCACATCCTAATACTCTCACCTTGAGGGTTATGATTCCAATCTATGACTTTTAGATGGACACAAACATTCAGACCAAAGCAAGAGGTAAACCAGGATGCAGTCTTGCCTCATTCATTGTGATTGTCCCTTTGTGTTTTATCTTCAGAAAACATAGAGGCATGTGTCTTTCCTTTCACCTACAAGGGATCTGTTTACTTCACTTGCACCAAAACTGGTGGCTTCTTCCCTTGGTGTTCAACCCGAGCAGTTTATGATGGCAGATGGAAGTATTGCTTGGTAGAAAGGTGAGTGGCAAGATGCTACAGAGTGGGGGATTTCTCGTATTTATTTTTCACAGTTATGTTTCCTGGCCAAGGTCCTCAGGCTTCTGAATTGGGATGATTACAAAACAGAATCTATGAATATGTCTGATGTGATTATATTTTTGCAGACAAATGATTAAATGTATTTTTGTATGGAAAATACTAAAGAGTTGGTAAACACTGAATACTAATACATGATGAGTTTCCTTTACCCAAAATGCTTGGGGCCAGAAAAAAATCTTTCAGATTTTTTCATATTTTAGAGTGTTTACAATGTATAAAATGAGATATGCTGGAGGTGGGACCCAAATTCATTGACACTTCTTAAACACTAGAGCCTGAAGGTAATTTTATATATTTTAATGCACCTGTGTTTTGGATGCTTAAAGTCAGGTGTGGAATTTTCTATTTGTAGCACCACGTTGGTACCTGAAACACTTTGGGTTTTAGAGCATTTAAGATTTCAGATTTAATATTTTTAGATTAGGGATTTTCAAGCTGTAATGGGTAATAATGTTAATGGTGATAACATCATTTGGACTTCAAAGTCCAAAGCATTTTTGACAATGACATGATTCCTGATATTTTTATGCATAGAGACAAAAGACATTTAGTATGTTTTAACCAGTAACCTAGTTTTGGACAAGTTGTTCCTGCTAATATCCAGCTTTTGAATATTTAGGATTTACTTTTCCCTGATATCATTGTTCTTGAGTCTTAAAATCCACCCCCTTTAAGATAAATATATGATAACAACACTTTCATTATCCTGAATGCAATTTTACAAACAAAATTACATATCTATACTCATAATTCCAAAATAAATCAACATAATTCCTTAATAGAAAATTTTATAGTAAAGTAATAAGTACACATGATCATAACTAAGAGGAAATGTTAAAAAGAAGAGAGAAGCTTGTCACTCTTCTTCTTTAAGAAGAAACTATTATAAGAGCTAAACATGATTACAAAAAGTGCCCCTATACATGGGAGGGGGAACACCAAAATCTAAAAGCAGTATCCTCACCGTTGGAAATTATCACTCTAGTTCAAACAATGCAAATCAATGGCTTGACAACACGTTTGAAGTAGAACTTTCCTTTTCTTTGTTCTTTTTATTTTTTTGATGATATGGGTTTTGAAATCAGGGCCCTGTGCTTGTTAGGCAGACACTCTTTTCTTTGATTTTTCCTTTGATTATTTTGGAGATAGGGTCTTGTTTTATGCCCAGGCAGCCTGGACCACAATCGTCCTATTTACACTTCCTGTGTTAGATGGAAGGACAGCTGCTTACCACCTCACCCAACTTTTGTTGGTTGAGATTGGATCTCTCAAACTTTGTGCCTCATCCTCTGTCCTCTGGATTTCTACTTCCCTAGTAGCTAGGATTCCAGGTGTCAGCCACCATCCTTGGCTCCTTATTTTTCTTTGTGTTGGAAAAAAGTTCTCAATATATGCTTAAGACATAAAGAGGACAGGAAAACCATTCCAAAAGTGTGTATACATAGTCCATCAGGGCCTAGACATGTTAATTTCCACTCTTTCATTGTTTGGAATGAGTTAAGGAATTGAACAACCCGTGTTTGACGAAACTTCTTTCAGCCAAATTACCTAATCCTTGTTAGGTTTCCTTTTTGAATCTCCTCCCCACGGCTATGGCCTCTGACTCGTGTACTTTCCTTTGAATGCATAAATGGCATCTTTCCTTCTCCTAGATTTGTTTTTTAATTCAATGGTGGGAGCATACATTTTTTGCATTGCAAAATATCATCCAGAATAAAACAGATTTTGAAGGCAACCTTATTAATAGAAAAATGATCATCTGAATAGTTGAGTCAGACCTGTTCTTTCAAAAGTCCTGATGCCCCAAACTCAAGTCCTATCAATTTTCTAGCAGAGGTAAGATTAGAATTTCCATTTAACAGTTTTAATATCTTAGACTTCCATGACAACAACGGGTTCTAAATCATACCATCTGGGAGATATCTCCCCATCTCACTTCATGGGTGAAATAGGGAGGTCAGAAATAGATACTGTCCAGACATGCAAATTCAAGACATATATGTAACTAGCAATATAGTGCTATGTAGATACAAAAATTTTGGTAATTACTGACTTCTTCAGTAAGAATAAAACCACTGCACAAGTCAGAAAATAGAAGTCACCCCAGTTCTCATTTCTCTCCAATTCACCAGCTAGCCTATTAGTTTTGTCTTCAAAATAGATCCAAACTCCAGCCTCTCACCACCCTTCCAAAACACTCAATTTTTTTGCCATAATAATTTACTAAGAGGTCTCCGAAAATCCCTTCTCACCCCCTCAAATCTATTCCCCCCATATCAGCCATAGACCTTTTTAGACAATGAAGGTAAGTGTGGCTATGTCTCTGCTCAAACCACTCCATGCTGAGCACCACCCTGCAGGAAAAACCTCCCACCTTGGTATGCAAAGCTCCATGTCACTTTTCCCAATCTGTCCTTAGCTGTGGGTCCCTTCTTTGCCTGTTGAGCTCCAGTGCTATCATATTTCCTGAATATCCCAATCTTCTTCCATCTTTGAACTCCTCACACTCTTATACCCTCTACCTAGACCTCACTTCCCTAGGCTTTTGCATGGCTTGTTTTTCCATGTCACCTGTTCAGAGAGCCCCTTTATCTATGACAGCTCCTCCACCACTCCCAAATAGTGTCTCTGATTCTCCTGTTGCCTGCGAGTCAATCCTCCCACTACAAATATATTATCAGAAACTGCGTTCTTTGTACTACATTTTGGTGGGAAATTCAGTCTATTCATATAAATCACAAGAAGGTGCAAACACCTGGATAATAACTTTACTATATTTAACTTCGTTGACTTTTTTTAGTAACCTCAAGAATTTTTTGTAGGTCAAGATCTTGACTTTGGGCCATGTCTGTAATCCCAGTACTTAGGAGGCTGAGGAATCACATCTTTAGTTCCAGAACAGCCTGGGCTACATAGTGAGACCCTGTCTCAAAAATCCAAATAAAGATCTTGGATTTTTCTGTAGATCATAAACTATCAAGAGTCATAGTCTTGACTTTAATCCTGTAGGTGTATTTGTGATTATAACCAATGTACTTTCAAGATACTACGTCAATGTTTGCTCAGCAGGTGAGAGGATTCTGGGAGAGGTCAGGTGCCCTTCTGGAGAAGCTTTGAAGATAGAAGGATGAGGAGTGAGCTTCACAAATTCTTGAGAAAATGAATGCATAAAGTCTCTTGCAGCCAGGAGCTGATGGCTCATACCCGTAATCTTAGCTACTCAGGAGACAGAGATCAGGAGGATCTCGGTTCCAAGCCATTCAGGCAAATAGTTCTCAAGACCTTATCTCAAAAATATTCAAAACAAAACAGGGCTGGCGGAGTGGTTCAAGTTGTAGAGCACTGCAGAGCAAGCATGAGGCCCTAAGTTCAACTTCAGTACTGCCAAAAAAGTCTCTTGCAGTCCTGATGTCTGTGTGGTTGATTGATTGATGCTAAAATGGCTCTGTCCTGTGAATGGTTAGAGAAAGCTGAGCCACTTATGAACTCTGTTCTGCACAGATTACCCACGATGTATCTTTCCCTTCATCTTTCATGGAAAGACCTATGACAGCTGCATCTCTGATGGCAGCTTCATAAGAAAGATGTGGTGTTCAGTCACCTCCAGCTTTGATGAGACGCAGCAATGGAAGTACTGTGAAAAGAATGGTGAGCCATGGGAGCCAGGATGGGTACATGGTGGGAAGGAACAGGGACAACCACAGGTCCAAACAGGGAATTCTGGACAAGGAAGAGAAGTATTGCTAGGAACTGAGTGTCTTCTCAGAGAGAAGCAAGAATGTGAGGCCATGCTCAAGTCCCCAAAGCCAGCTTGGAAAACAGGTGTCTTGACAACAGAAACTGTGGGTTGTAGTCCTGATACTGGTTTTTGAGTACTTCTGTTTCTAAATTGATGGTAACCAGACTTCATCCAGGGATGGACTCTGCCTGTATTTCAATGCATCTTAACATCTAATCTTAATTCTATACCTAATTCTGACTTTGTAATGACCAATATTCATTCATTGCCTTTTCTCATCTCATTTGAGCTTTGTAGACATTAACTGTTTAATCTTTCCACAACGATACTAGGAGATTCAATTTCCCACTCCCTCAATTCAGTAAGTTGTCTCAGTAAAATTAAGTTTGTCAAGGTCATACTCCTAAGCTATGTCAGGGTTAGAATTTGAATCAAGTTGATATAGCTCCAAAGCCCATGTTCTCTCATTAATAAACATCAGTGCCATCATAGAGATAACAGTGCATGCAAGGCTCTCATTGATGGGCACATTAATTTTTGCATAAAATGTTATGTTTTTTCCTTCAGCATTCAAAGATTCATAATCCCATCTAAAATCTAAAATTTAACCTAACCCTAGCTATTGTGTTCATAACCCTACACCAACCTTATTTTAAATGCCACCATAACTGTGTCCTAATGCTTAATCTAACATTTCATCCAAGAACAACTCTTTCTCCACCTTTACTCTTGACTCTAAGTACTAAAATGAAAACACCCATGGCCTTGACATTTTAAACTCCAAAGCAAATAGATGGGTCGATAGAGTTAATAGCTTTATGATTAAAATCATAGTATTGTGTGTAGTTCTAAATTGTTTCAAATCTTACTGTAATTTAGCTATAATCTTAACATGTAAACTTCTGTTTTACCTGGATGCTATCCAAGCTCTTTAGATCCATGATGAAGGTAATAGATTATAACAATTCAGACAGGATCAAAGATTAGAATTTTGCATAAATTGCTAGACAGATGTCCAGCCAAAGTTTCCCTTTATCTCTGGCTCCCCCATTACCCTGGGAAATTTGTGAAGCCTCTTGATCACTTTTTTTATTTGCAAATGAGGATGATAAGGCTGGCTTTCCAAGCTCAATTGTAAAGACTGGACTTTATGTTCACACAATCTACCATGATACCAAAGTAGGTATCTAAGGAGTGTGAGTTCTCATCTGCTATCATCAGAGCCACTCATCAAAACATGGGCTTTGAAGTTGGACCTGAGTTAGAATTCTGAGGCTGCTTTTTCTAGTTGTGTGATCTTGGACATGTTGGATGCTAAAAAATAATGATTATAATATTGTGAGCTTTGAGTAGGCACTGCTATGTGCCAGGCAGTGTTCTAAGAATGATATATGAAATCTCATGTATCTCTCACAACAACCTATGGGGTATATTTGACTATTAGCCCCATTCTACAGATGGGGAAATGAGAGTTTCAGTTGGTAAGTGGTAGAGCTGTGATTTGATCCCAGGAGGTATAATCTCATGAAATGTGCTATTAAGCACTAGTCATTACTTCTTCTAAGCTCTGATCCCTTAGTCAAACCCTGGATTCCCCTCTACCACTAGCAGAAAAAGTCTACTGGTTAGGGAAGCCTGAGTTTATTATTTACTGAAATAAGGAAGAGTGTAATTTTGGCAGAGTCATAACGGCTTCTTGGGGCAGAAAGGGTAAAGCGGAGTATTAATGAGGTCTGGGATCTGGGGTGGGTTTCTTGGTGTGAGAATGTGAATTAGTTTATGAATTGATTTTTGTTTATCAAATTCTAGCCACAATGAGATGACACCTCACACCCATGGGTTAGCTGTTATTAAAAATATAAATGTTGGCAAAGATGTGGAGAAAAGACAACCTTTATGCACATCTGGTGGGAGTGTAAATTAGTACAGTCACTATGGGAAACAGTAAAGAGATTCCTCAAAAAACTAAAAATAGAACTGCCATATGATCCAGCCATACCACTGGTTTCACAACCAAAGGAAATGAAATCAGATACTGTACCCCACAATCCTTGCAGCATTACTCATGGTAGCTAAGATATGGAAACAACTTAACTTCCCAGGGACAGATGAATGGGTTTTTAAAAATGTGGCATATATGCATGTTTTCTCTCATATGTGGAATATAGACCTAATACAAATATAGCAATATTATGAAAAACAGTCACACTAAGGGGTCACACTAAGTGTAAAAGAAGGATGTTAAGAAGGTGAATATGGTTGAGGTACTTCTTATACAAGAATGAATATAGCATTTTAAAAACTGTTGAAATCACCATAAGAAGGGGACTAAAGTAGAAAGGAGAAGAATAGAGAAGCTGAACCAATTCGGGTTAAATACACATATACATGGAAGTGCCACAAGGAAACTCCCTGTGTACCTATCTTAAACAAAATATCATTTTTTTTACAACATCAGAGAACAGGAGGGTGGAATAGATCCCGTGGGGTGGGGTTGGTACCTAAGCGGAAGAGGAGAATGTGGGGAAAGTGTGTAGGAGGGTGACTATAATGCAAACACTGTGTACACAAGTATGTAAATGGAAAAATGACACTTGTTGAAACTATTCTAGGAATGGGGACGGGATAAAGGAGAATGGTGGAGAGGATGAATTTAACTATGATATATTTGATACATTGTGAGAGCTTTTGTAAATGCCACAATGTACCCACAACACAATAAAAAATAATGATAAAATGTGGCATATATACACAAGAACTTACTATTAAACCTTTAAAAAGCAGGGATTTCTGTCACTTGTAACAACATGAATAACTTTAGAGGATATTATGCTAAGTGACAGAAGCATATCCAATGTTTATTTCAAAGTTTTCCAGGAAATTCTTTGAATGAACAATTAAGCTGTTTGAAATGTTATCTTCCCTGGTTAGAATTTCCCAGTTGATGAAGATCACAGATAGTAAAGTCATGGTCGTGTAGTAAGCTGTGAGGGTGTTGATGGTTTTGGTTCTCACTTACCATAAGACAGAAACAATACATCATGGAGACGTTTCTTAGAAAGTGCAACACAGGAGATAAAGTGAGGTGCAATTTGTGTGTGATGAATGGAAGCCTTTTCATCTCCTCTTCTTGACACCTTTCTGTGATCATTTTTAGAATATGGAGGGAATTCCTTCAGCAAGCCTTGCATCTTCCCTTCCATCTACAGAAATAGTGTGATTTCAGGATGCATCGAGGATGAAAACAGCAAGCTCTGGTGCCCAACCACAGAGAACATGGACAAGGATGGAAAGTGGAGCATCTGTGCTGACACAAGTAATCTGGGGAAGGGGGCTGGATGGGCCTGGGTGGATCCTCCCATTAATTTACTCAACAAACATATTCCAAAGTCCTACTGTGTGTCAGGCACTGTGCTGGGAACTGGAAGTATGGGATGAATAAGACAGGGTCCTGCCTTATGAATCTGATAAACAAATAGCATCAAGAATGTATTTCTACTGGGATGTGGTGGTTCACACCTGTAATCTCAGCACACAGATGGCTGAGGCAGGGGCATCACAAGTTCAAAGCCAGACTGGGCTACATTGGGAGTTCCAGGCCAACATGGGCTACACAGAGAGACCTCACAAAAAGAGAGAATGCATTACTTGACCTGGCTTTAAGTTCCAAGAGAAAGGTGCTAATATAATATGAAAATTTTTGTGTTAAACACCTAAGTCTCATATAAATACAGAGTAAACACGTGATTTTTTTTGGTGGTAGTGGCACTGGAATTTTGAACTCAGGACCTCACACTTGCCAGGCAGGTGCTCTATCACTTGACTCACCCTGCCAGTCCCATGCTTAGGTTCTTAAAAAAACAATTAATGAGTAACCATGTTTATGTAGACCAGGAAGAACAGAATGTTGAGTTTACATGAGATTACAAAGTTAGATACAAAATCCATTAACGTCTAAGCAACAATTAAACCTTTGAAGTTGTCCATCAACTGAAAATTATTTATATCTATTGCACAAAAATTATTCACAACTTACTGATTTCCTCCAAGTTATATCTAACTGCTGCTGAGTCTGGACTTACAACTGATAGCAAATAGTAAGTCACACAGTTATACTTACACAGAGCAAGGAGCTGCAAACTCTATTCCACCGATGAGCCAAATATGGACTAATGCCTGTGTTTGCACAGCCCCTAATCTAAGAAAGCTTTTACATTTTTATATGTTTGGGGAAAAGTCAAAAGAAGAATAATATTTTGAGAATTATGAAATTCAAATTTCAAGTCTGGAGGCATGGCTCAAGTAGTAAATCACTTGCCTATCAAGCATTTGATTCTGAGTTTCAAACCCCAATATGCCAAAAAATTTTTTCAGTGCCCATCTATAAAGTGTCATGGGTCATTGGCATGCCCATTCATTTATAGACCACCTATAGTTGTTTTCTACCTACACTGGCAGAATTAAGTATTTGTGACAAGACTATATGATGCACAAATTCAAAAATACCTACAGAACAAGTACGCTGACTGAACTAGAATGTCAGATGACCCTTATACGGACTTGTCAGACAATGTTCTAGGATGTCATTAAAAAGTCCTGTGACAATATCTTAGCCTTATTTCAAGTTTTGGATAAGCATTTTGCCAAATGAAGGTTTCAAATTTGGATTTGGAGAGGTGGTGAAGGATGAGCCCTAGAGAAAGAAAACTATAACACTTGCAATATGTCTTCACTGATCTACTCTTAGGCAATGGTCCGGGGTTCATGTTTGGAATCATTTTGTTCAGAGACAAGCCTTTCCCTTCATAACGCCATTTCTTTGTGTTATTTGAGTCTCTGGTCCCTGATTAGGGATCTTGCATGTATCTGGAGCTGTTGCATGGAGTGTTATCCTCTTGTTTTATGTGCATTTCTGTTTAAAGAAAATTAGCATACATACTTATCTGGCATCTATTGTTGATTCATTCACATTGAGCTCACAGCCAACAGAACTATCACTCATGATTGAAAGACACTTAGCCCACACAGACATTTTCTTCTTAAGGTACCGTACAACCTTCCTGTGTTTGGGAGCACCAGTAAGAAATTCTGTGGTATTCTTAGGGGATTTTTCTAAACAATGAAATCACCAACAAACAAATCATGAAAAACATGGTACCAGCCCATGTGCTCGTTCACAGCAGATGAGCTGAGTCATTTTGCTTCACCTCCCCGGAAAACATTTGGGTCAGGTGACTCATTGTTCTCAACACTCTGTCTGTCAAGCAACTGCAGAAGTACTATGAATATTCAGTTGGGGGTTGCAAATTTTAGAAGTAGGCGAATTTGCAAATACAGAATCATGAAAAAAATGAGGATCCACGTAAATTTGTTCTCTAAGTGCCTCCCACTCCACTCCCTGGTCCTCCTGGTGATAGAGCATTCTCCTCCTCCCTCAACATCCAGGACTTTCACTTTCCCTTCTTCCCTGTTGTATCCACCTAAGTTTATCCCAGTCTTAAACTTGGTGTTAGCTTCCAAATGGGAGGGAAACCCAGCCACTTAGTTTTCCATCAGGATTCACCTCAGCAGTGAAGCCTCTGAGCAGAGCCACACACCACATTCACCGGGTATTGAATCTAAGATGGGGTGTGAAAACCAAGCCTCTTCACGGTGTGAAATCCCAGGGAATAACCTTTATCCTATATCCTTCTTCTCCCTAGGAATTTCTGCATTGTCTCCTGGCTTTCCCTGCCATTTCCCATTCACTTATAAAAACAAGAATTATTTTAACTGCACGAACAAAGGATCCCAGCAGAACCGTCTATGGTGTGCAACTTCTTACAACTATGACCAGGACCACACCTGGGTGTATTGTTGATGCTCAGGTGAAAGCAGGCATCCAAAGTAGGTGCATCACTAATATGAAGATGAGATAGGTAGCATACCTGGGTATGTGGCTGATGGGAAGGTGAGATCTGCCCCTTTCCCATGTGGCTGATTCACTGAGTTTCCCAGCAAGGCAGGCTCTACTTTCCAAAGATGAAGTATAGTCAGAGGAAGACTGGAGCAACTTTTCAACTCAGAAGGCTATAGGAAATTGGGATTTCAATGGCAAGAGGAGGGCAGAGGAGGGGGGAATACTCAGAAAGGTATTCCAAGTTGTAAGTCTGGAAGACATTAGGTATGAAAGATTAGAAATAAGGAATTTCTCAATCTGTAAGTTGATATGAAAAGACCATGTGGAAAAGGGATTACGTGGGGCCTCAAAAGTCATGGCATCATACTGCTAATCCCTTAACCCCATCCTTGAGTAGCTGCCAGAAGAAAAGGTAGGGTTTGCTGCAGGCAGGTAAAATAATTCACCAAGAAAGAAAATGGGAGCAAGAGGTGTTTTAGGACACAGAATCAGTGGGCAGCTGAGCACAGGGGAGCGAGTGGTGCTGTAGTGCCAACATGAGGGCTGATGTAGATTTATTTATGTAAAGAAAAGTGAAATCAAAGCACAGGTGCACCCTCAACAGGAGGGTGGGAAGACTCAAAAGGGATTAATGCACTGGGGTGGCAAGACCTCAAGATGTTATTGGGGTCTGTAGGGATGGGGTGGCTAGTTCTGGAAAGCTTAGTTTTCTCAGATGCTGGGCCAATGCATCATCAACTCCTCCTATGAATCAGGGTGGGGGTTGGTGACTTGGATTGTCAAACTGGGGCTGTTATTTTTTTTGCGGGCTCCAGGGGCTCTGGGTCAGCAAGACCCTGCTGTATGTTACAGCTGTTCTGTTAACACTGGCAGGCTCGGATGTGATTCCATTTCAGTATCCAAGTAAGCCATGGTTCTTAACCATTAAGTGTGCTAACTCCCTGCTGAGTCCTCATCAGTGTTTACTTTTATTCCATTGGCTTTTAGTTCCTGTCCCAACCTCAACCTATAAACCATCAGCTCTCCTTAGAGGATCAGCTTTATCTGTTCTTTTCTTCTAGTCTTTTCTCTCTGGCTTTCCACTGGGCTAATTCAGTATTCTCCAGCCTGCAGCAATTCTCTCTGGATAGCCTGCACAGATCAGTTGCTCTATCACTCTGTAACTTCTGGAATCTAAAAGTAAAGAGAAGCTCTTTTACCAACGTGTGGACAAAACCCCACTACCCTCCCTCTAGGATAGAAAACTCTTGTGGTTCTTCCAGTATTTATCCTTACAGTGCACATGGCTCAAGGATGACACTAAATGAATTACTTTTCCTGAATTATGGCTTGGGAGTAGCAGTTCTGTTTTCTGAATAGAAGAGAGGCAAAGGACAGGGTCTGGGGACTGTAGGTACCACTTAAAGGGATAGGTATTAAAAAACACCCACAGTGGTATCCAGTCTGTGGCTAGAACTAAGAATATTTTTAATGCCTAGCCTCCAAGATTCATTGTAAGACTTCTCAATTACTCCATTCCTGTGCTCATGGAATGCATCAATAATTGATTACAGAATCTAGTCCCCTCTGAGCTCAGATGAAAATTCTCATTGTGTTGTTATTGCTCTTCCTTCTCCTCCTTCTTCCACCTTCTTTTTATTACTCACAGAACTATCTGCATGCAAGTCCATCTCCCACCAAATTTTATTACCATAAAAATGAGGAGGGGGCTCACTCTTCATTGGCTGACTTATTCCTCTGAGACAGATGGGCCACAGGAGAGTGTGTCTAATTACTTTCTACTCAGCTTCTTCCTGTTACTTCTGAATAAGTCTTGAAATCAACACAAAGTCACTTTTTTGTAGTACTGGGGTTTGGACTCAGGACCTCATGCTTCATAGGCAAATTCTCTGCAAATTAAACCAGGCCCCAGATCTTTTTGCCTAATTTTTTACATAGGGCCTCCTGTTTTATTCAGGGCTGGCTTGGACTGGGATCCTCCTTCTGATCTTCTTGCAGAGTAGCTGGTATTACAGAGTGTGTCAGCATGCCCAGCTTATTAATTGAGGTGGAGGGGAGTCTCACTGACTTTTTGTTGGGGCTGGTCTCAAATTGCAATCCTCCTGATTGTTGCCTCCTGACTAGCTGGGATTATAGGTGTAAACTACCATTCTTGACCCACAAAGCCACTTTTTATTTATAATGCATTTTAAGTCAATGCATACTTATTACTTAAACCCTGGCCTTTGATTTCATTTTCAGGGAGAAGAAAATACTCTTCATAGGAAGACTGTCACACTGAGGCTGGAACCTACTTCCTCTTTTTAATGACCTTTTCCAAGCTTTGATGATCAATTTTAGAAATACCATCCTGCTTAATCACATGGTCTTTTGAGAAGAATGGAGGAAAATGTGACATAACCGCCAATAAAATGGGTTCTAAATCAACCCTGAGGCTGCCTATTTTGCACCTTTGAATGAGAAACATACACATGGTGAAGGTGTGGGGAAGGAAAAGTTGTTGTGTCTCATGATGGAGAGATGAGATTCTAAGCCCAGGGAACTTTAAAAAGAATTGCAGCACCCTTCTCTCTCTTTCTGGGAAATCACAGATCTGTGGAGTTTTTCTAGACACTTATTAAGTTATTGATGAATAAATCAGTAAGTAAATGGAGGGTGGAGAACTCATTGCAAGATTGTCTCAGCTACCCTTCCCCATGTTTGTGGTAGATAGTGATATATGATTGCACAATTTGTTTCCCTCTGAGCTCAGATAAAAATTTCCTCTCCTCTTTCTTATCCTCTTCATTTTCTTCTCTTCCTTCATCTTCCTGTCTTCTTCCTTTCTCCTCTTCCTTTTTCTTCCTCTTTCTCCTCTTGTTTTTCTTCTCCTCTTATTGCTCCTCCTCCTTCCCCTTTTTATTCTCTTCTTCCTTCTCCTCTCTCCCTTCTCCCCATTCTTCCTCCTTCTCCTTCTAAATAAACAACCCTGGTCAACTTCTACCGCTACCCCTTTGTATGTCCAGATGTCAAGGGTAGGTTATAGCTTTTCAGCCTCACTCACTAACAACCTGATTGTCAAATTACAGTGATGTTGCACAGACAGGCAAGAAGCCTGGATATTTAATGGTGGGTTAATTTCCCTTCAGGTCAGGAACAGCCAGAGGATAAATCCTCACCCAACAACACACAAACACCTCGCTGAACACAGCTTTCCTGTTCCCAGTGCCATGTTTCCTTTCTTTGCTTAAAGCCTTCCCTACTCTCATTCTCTGCCTCTCTTCCCTGAACACACCAAGCTTACTCACCTGCCTCTGTGCCTTTGCTTGAGCTGGACTGCTCTGCCCTCATCTTCTTGCAGGTGTAGCTCTGTTCCTTGATGCATCCATCTTGTGATGGGGATGGAGACAAGCTGGGTGGATCTCTCTTAAGAGAGAACCTTTGCTTGGCTTCAGGAAGTGCTTCAGATGGTCAATCCAAGTCAGAGGTGTCCTCACCTTGAGTGCTCTCCCTCACTCAATGCCATGCTCTTCTCAGGGCAGTCAATAGCCAATGACTGACCAAGGCTAAGTTTAAAGACTGAGTCATCTCAATACAAGTAAGACAACTCTACAGAGCTGTGTCCAGAGTTCTTATGGGTTCTGCTGAGGTCACAGAGCCTCCATAATGGGTCAACTTCTCCTAACCAACCCTAGCTCCTTCCCTTCCTACCATAGTGAGGATTCCAAGAGACTCTCTGATGATCTTCCTGCCTGTTCACCCCTACCCTCAGATGCAGTAGAAGACCAAACCCAATACTCTCCATCTTTAAGATCTGCCCTTTCTGACTGTTCTAATTAAACCATTCATTCATCTCCACCAAAATTCTCTTTACATCTCACAGCTCACTTTATCTTCCTCAAAATATTCATCCTGATCTCTGCTTCTCTTAACTGATTAAGTTTTTTCTTCTCTGCTCACACTGGAATGTAACCCCAAAGAAAGTAACTTCATCACTGGGCTCTTTTCCAGGACCTAAAATAATACCAGAATCATTGCATGAAACTGTGCTGTCCAGTACAGTACTCATTAGCCATATGAGTCTATCAGTTAATCAGTTTATTTATTAACAAAATTGTATTCCCCTAATGAAATAAAATTCGGTTCTTCAGTCTCACTCCTCACATTTAATACTCACTGGCCACATGTAGCTAGGGGCTGCCATGATGAACAGAACAGGTCCAGAGCATTCCTATCACTGCAGAGGATCCTTTAAGATTTCATGCCTCTAGAACACAGGCTCCCAGAGGTCAAGTACCCAGTTGTTGGGTTTCCATCATTTTGGAATAATTCCAGGCAAATAGAAGGGAATCATCAAATGGTTCTTGAATGGGTCAATCATGATGAGTAGATGGGTGAATGTACAAATGGAATGGGACAGAGCTGAGGAAAGGTGCAAACATCACTTTTCAAACACTGAGCTGCATCGAATCACTCCTCTGCTCAAAACCCTCTGAAGTCTTTAAAATGGTCTCTAAAAAAGTATTTGCATGATTTAGCTCTTGATCCACAATGATGACTTGACAGCCTACCCCTCCAGCCATCCTGGCTATTTGCCCAAATTATAGGTATGTCCCTGCCTCAGGGCCTTTGCATTTGTCATATATTGTGTCTCTAATGCTCTTCCTTCACATATGTCTCGTAGGTCCAGTGAACTTCTTGATGTCACCACAGAGAATGGCAGCCCCCTCATAGCTCCCCAAATCTCTTCTCTGTGCCATTTTCCTCCATAGCTATTCTCACTTTCTAACATGCTATCATATCTATTCATTTTGTCCCATGGATGTCTCCTCTCATTATAATGTAAGCTCCTGGAGTCCATCATTTTTGGTCTACTTTTTTCATCTCTATAAGCTCCATTCCTGGAAGAGTGCCTGTCACATCACAAGCACTGAATACACTGTCAAAGAAATAAAGGATGGAAGAAAAGAAAGAAAAAAAAAGAATGAGAGATTATGGGATTTAAAAATAAAATGGTCCTAGGATAGTGAACCATGATATGAAGGGAGCAACCACAGGGAAGAGGTTAGGGAATCCATTGTTCTGGTTCCATTTTTTTCTTAATTTCAATGGTAAAAATGAGGCTATTGAACCAAATGGCCATTCTCTACATGGACTTCAAAGTGAGGAAAACTCGGACGAAGACGTGAAAAGAATTCTTTATTTTGAGGACTGCTGTTCCCAGGTAGAGGCGAGGAGTTTCACAGGCCAGATCGACATCAGGATGTGGAGGGTGGAGCCCAGGTCCCATCTAACATATTGACACTCTACAGCAACCCTGGACTATGACACAGAGGCAGGGGCTTCCAGTCACCTGGCTATGCTGGAGTTTGGGGGATCCTGTTCCCCTTCCGTCCCTCTGCATTATGGTATTTTGCATGGGATTAATTCCCTAGGGATCAGCTTGCCCTAAACCTTTATAATCCAGCTTTGTGATTTAATCCTCTTTCTCCTGAGTATCTCACACCAAGAGAAGGATTTCAATGTCAGAGGGAAAAAAATAGACTGCTTCCAGGAAGTTAGGACAACTGACGTTGAAGGTCTCTCTTTTTTTCCCAGCACTGGGTATTGAACCTACACCTTACTAGGCAAGCACTCAACCACTGAGCTGAGCCAGGATCACTGATGAGCAATACCCCCAGTCTTTTTGTTTTCATTTTGTTTTTGAGTCACAGTCTCAATAACTTTTCCCCAGGCCAGCTTTGAACTCATGATCTTCCTCCCTCTGCTTCTCCAGTAGCTGGAATTACAGCCATGTGCCACCATACCCAGCTGAACATCTCCTTAATAAGCCCTTTCTAAGCCCAGCCTTGTCAAAATGCCTTTTTATAGCCCTGTGATCTATGTGTCCCCCTCACACCAAGAGAAAGCATTCAAGGGGATCTGAGGTTGAAGCAAGCAGAAGGGCGGACTGTGTGCAGAATTTTTTGACAGTTTTTTTTTCTCCTGTCTGATTGCCAGAAAGGTCTCCATACAATTTCTCCCCAAGGGGAAGTTGGGGGAGTGATTCTGGCAGGTCACAGGGATTTAGGACTATGTGAAGGAGAAAGATGCCATTAGCTTCTGGACTTTTTGGAATGGCAGCTGGACCCTAGTCCTATTCATATTCTATACATAACCTCTTCCTTCTGAATCTAATTCTATAGATGCTCCCCATCCAGTAAGCTACTGCTTGCTGTCTAACCTTGATCCATGCTATTGTAAGGCCAACTCACCCCCACCCTCCATCTTCAAGGGGTTATGGGAATTCAGTCCTCCATAAATGTTTAATCCACATTAACCAGGTGGAGAGAGTCTGGGCTTCCAGGACCTCTTCAACGAGACATCATCTTCACAAACTCTGCAAAGAAAAGTCCCTGTGAGGTGTTTTTTGGTCAAAGCAGCTAACATTATTTTTTAAACCCTTCTTATGCACCAAGCAGCCATAGTGATCTTGGGGAAATGACGCCTCTGCAACTCCAGAACCATAGGGTTGCTCTTCCCTTCTAGGGTTTTTAAGATGGTTAAATCACATAATGCTCACCAAACAGATGAAAGGCTCTATAAATAATCATTGTTAGTATCTTGTCCTATCTTTTCAAATATCCCAGAAGGATGCTATTTTGTAAACAAGGAAAGTGAGGCTGGTGAGAGTAATGAATTGCATGAGGTCCCGTGGACAGTGAATGGCACACCACAGATGCAGTTGCCTATCATATTGCTATGACACGATGTCAGATGAACTTGCTAGCCCTACCATGTTCTGAAGTCACCTGCCTATGTCTGGCCCAAAGATCTGCCTCCTATGCTATCTCCACCTTTTCCCTGTTTTCATTGATGCACACTGTTCACCTGAGCCTGACTCAGTCCAGCAGGTATCTGAGAAACATCTACTATGTTTCCATGTGGGGACTTGCAGAGCATATAGGATTTAGGAAAGTCCCTTCCACTGTCCTCAAGATGGAGACACAAAGCCTTGGAGGCAAGGAGAGGAAGAAGAAAACCCCTGCAAGACTCCACAGCTGGGAGTGATGCCCCCAGCTAAGGGGAAGGTAAGATTAGCAAAGCGTGACTGGGGTGTGTCCATGAGGGATGCATAAGATGTAGCGGTGGAGTAAGTGGACAGAACATCAGTTGGAAAGGAAGAGAGATTGGAGAACACAGAGCAGGTATCACGTTTGCACGATGTCATAACAATTCAGAGTGTGGTTGCAGAATGGAGGTAGAAGATGCTGTTGGGCGAGTGAGAAAGAATGATGGATAGATTTGAATATCAGACTGAGATATAGGCGGCAGCTAGAGGCTGAGCATTTTGGCTTCTTCCTCCCTTACTCCATCCCTCTTTCCCTCCTCCTCTTTCTCTCTTTCTTCTCTCTCTCTTTCTCTTTCTTTCCTTTCTTGCAGTGCTGGGGGTCAAATCCTGGTCCTTATGGGCAAGCTCTCTACCACTGAGTTGCCTTTCCAGCTCTGTGATGTCATGGTCAGTATTACCAGAAAGGCATGTGTGGGGGTGAGAAGAGAAAAGAGAAAACAGTGGCACTTAGAGTTTTCTCTGAAACTCTGAGAAAAAGGTGTCATCCTCATCCCCATTTTGCAGATGAAAAAAGTGACATGAAAAAAGTAAGTTACCAAGATTAGGGCATGACATAGTAAGAGATGATCTTAAATTTAAAGCCCATGAGTCTGACCCCAGAGTGCCAGCCCAGCCTGCTTCTCTGATGGGACATTTTGTTCCTCTGACCAAGATGCCCAAGGAACCTGGATTTGAGGAAATGGCCTCAGAGACCTACGCACATAGGTAAGAAAGGGCCTCTGGATGAGGGGTTCCATGGAAACTCCAGGAGAGAGAGACACTGAAATCTTTGGCATGTCGTGGTCAGAAAAGAATGCAAGGAATGGTTCCAAACCCATCACCCATCTCCAAGTGCAACCTTCACATGCAACCCTGACGAGGAAAAAAGAGTGGCCCACTTGGAAACTACACGAGAAGTGAGTTTCCATAGTGTGGCCCCTTATGGCACCTTCAAAGTCAACGGTGCCATCCCCGTTGATGTCAGCCTCCTGGACCACCTCGGCAATCTCCTGGGGCGTGAGCTTCTCCCCTAGCAGCCTCTGCATGGCCTGCTGCAGCTCCCCCAGCGTGATCTCCCCATCTCCATTGGCATCAAACTGAACAGAAGCAAAGAGATTGAATTGGCAGCATCAGCAATATCTCTTTTAAGTTTGCATATATCGTATGTGTGTGTGTGTGTGTGTGTGATACTGAGATTTGAACTCAGGGCTTTTGCTTACTAGGCAGGTGTTGTACTACTTGAACCATGCCCCCAGACATTTTTGCTGTGGTAATGTTGGAAATAGGGTCTCGCATTTGCCCAGGATGGCTTGGACAATGATCCTATCATTAATGCTTCTCATAGTAGTTGGGATGACAGGCATACTACCATGCCCAGATGCGTCTGTTGAGAGGGGTCTTGTGAACTTCTTTTTGGCCTGGGCTGGCCTAGAACCTTTATCTTATGATTTCAGCCTCCTACAGAGCTGGGATGACAGACATGCACCACAGTGCTAATTAACTGGGTGAAATAGGAGTCTCACAAACTTTTTGGCCAGAGTTGGCCTCAAACCATGATCCTCCCAATCTCTGCCTCCCAAGTAGCTAGAATCACAGGCATGAACCACCGGCACCAGACTCAAACAGCTTCATTGACTTGTAAGTCATATACAAAAGGTGCATATATTTAATGCATGCAGTTTGATGCATTTGTATATGTGGGAACTCCACAGTCAGCACATCACCTTCAAGAGGTTCCTATGCCTCTTGGCTTTTGTTTGTTTCCTATTTTTTGTAGTAAGAACATTGACACAAGATTTACACACTTTGATTTTTAAGTGCATGTGATACTTCAAATATTACAAATTGCAGTAACATTACATATTAGTTAATGATTTGTATTACACAAAACATATTTTTAACTAAGGACGTTACGTGACACAGCAGATCACAAGAACTCCATCATCTTGCATAAGATACGCCCGTTGAACAGTGATCTACTCGCCCTGCCTTTCATTCTGCCTCTTGGAAACCTCAGGTAAGTGGAGTCATGTGTATTTCTCTTTCTCTGAGTGCACAGATGCAATAGAATACTATTCAGCTCTAAAAGAGCAGGACATCCTGCCCCATGGGACAATAAGGATGACCCCAGAGGATGTTATGCTCAGTGAAATCAGCCAGACACAGGACAAGTAGTTTTACATGGTAGGCACCTGATATTTTTAAACAATAAACTTCCTCCAAAGCTTTGCCTTGCACATCTTTAACCAACTACCAGAGACTGTAGTACATCCAGTCTCCAGAGCACATGGAGGGGAAGGTGGAGGAGCTCTACTCTCCTTCCCCAGCTCTGCTGGTGCTCACTTGGCTCTCACCACAGTTACTTCTTGCCTGGATTATTAAGATAGCCTCCTAATGTGGGTATCTGGTCTGGCTCTTTTTGTGATCCTCTTAGGGTCCATACACCAGGGCTTCATATTCATGCTCATTTAAAGTTATATCAGACCTTGTCACTCAGATGCTTAAAACCCTCCTCTGGATTCCTGTTCCATCAGAAGAAAATCCCAACACTGATGCACACTTTGGTGGTTTGGCTCTGCCTTCTGCAAGCCTGAGACCTTGCCTATTTCATGTTGTGCCCTCTCCAGCTCACAGGGCTCCAAGCACTCAGGCTTGTTGCCTTTCTACAGATGCCTTCCTGCCCTACAGCCTCTGTGTGTGCAGTTTCCTCTCACATTCCCCTGAATCTGCTTCCCTAGAGCAGCTCTGAACAAGAGAAAGACAATATGTGCCTCAAAGATTATATTAAGTTTTTTGTAGTACATTTAAAACATGTTAGCAGTACAGCTCAGTGCTAGCAGGGACAGGAAAGGCCCTGGGTTCAATCTGAGCACCAAAAGAAAAAGGAATTAAGAGGCTGGACATGGTGGTGCATGCCTGTAATTCCAGCACTTAGGAGGCACAGGTAAGTGAATCAGGAGCTCAAGACCACGGTGGGCTCACACACTGTCCTAAACAAAAACAAAAAACAAGCATGTAAGGACTTCAGCTTAATTCCCAGCACCCTCAAAATGTGAAAAAATGTAAAATGAACTTTTGATAATCAATATTATTTATGTTGATATATCAAAACTTATTTTGGTATGTAGTCAACTTGAAAATATTAGCTATGCTATGTTTAAAATCTTTTTATGCACATTGGATTTTGTAAGTCAGCATGTTAAATAAGTATTTAATATGTACTTACAAACATAGGTAACATTTTTAGTACACACATTTGCCTATGAACAGTGATAAAACACTAAATACACTAAGTATTGATCCTGCAATTTATACACTTACAGTGCTTGTCAGCTCAGATACTAGCTTTTTCAATCACAAACACTTGTTCTACATAAAGATTTTGTCACAAAATTTATAGTTGAAAAGGCCAGTGTTCACACACAAGGTGTTTGAAAGGAAACTTTTCCAAAAGCTGAATCAAACATTCATTTTTACATTTAAATGAATTGTAGTTTAGTACTTGAATTGATAGTCAATTGAATATCAGTGCAAATTAATAAAAAACCTAATTTAAATCCACTGAAGTGAAGTTTAAAAAATTCAGCTCTGTAGTTACGCTAGCAACATATCAAGGGTTCAGTTGCCAAGGGTAGCCAGGGGCTACTGTTTTGGACAGAGTATTTCTGTGGCGACATAAAGATCTCTTGAGCAATACACCTGTCACTCTTTATACAGAGTTGAGAGAGAGAATTATACAATGAGCAGACAGAGATCTCCCGGGATTTGAGCCTGGCTCCAAAGTCTCATGATGGAATGAAGATTGCCTGGTTCCAATGTCTTTGCTTCCAAATGCTATACTATTTTAATTGTACCATGCATGGTTGAAACTCTATGGATGACAGAAGTTATTTTATCAGGGGATATAAGCAGGCTCCTTAATCTCATGGATATTCGGTCTTATTTTTATTTTTTTTAGCATTTCTATAGCAGTCATCTGGATTAAACCAGATGATTTATTTGAGATCCTTTCTGAGAAATCTCAAATTCCTGGGTTCCTCCTTCCTATTACAAGGAACCAAGCTTTGATGTTCCAACATTTGTTTAAGAGGATGTACAATCCTGGATAATATTCTTAACCTCCCTGAGCATCCCTTTCCTCATCCATATGACTGGAATAAATGACTGCTTACTGTTAATTTGTGAGGGTTAAATCAGATGAGATATGCAGAGGCCCTGTTCCATTCCAAGTATTTTGAATGATGTTATATTCCTGCTCCACCATCCCACCACTGCTACACATAAAATTGGTTTTGGCGGGTTCTGTCCATGATGATGGCTAATAACAAATCTCTGTGGTCTTTCTCCACCCCACTAGCACCATAGGGCTCTCAATTCACCTCCCTGAAGGCATCTCGCATCTCCTGGACGCCAATCATCCCAGCTGTCTCTGCAAGCAATTTGGGGGTCATCAGTTCCACAAAGTCCTCAAAGTCCACACGGCCACCCACTGAGGGCAGAAGAGAAGTGGTTAGTAGGACACCACATAACCTGAACTTTCCATTTGCTCACTTTCCTTTCAAGTTAGTTCAAGAAGTATGTCACTTTCCATTTCCCTGCTAAGAGTGCTTTGGACTTCTTCTCTCTACTCAGCCAACTCAAGCCCCTCTGTTCCTTTAATCTGAACCAAAGGAACAGGGTGTGTAGTAACAACCACCTTCAGAACATCTCTTAGTTGGTTAACACCCATGCTTCCTCATCTGTACATCTGTAGAAAAGAGAGATTGAATTACATGCACATCAGACTCTCTTCTGGTATGAATTCAATCATCCCTTGGTGAGGATTGGTGCCAGGAACCCTCTGAGGATATGAACATTTTCAGATGCTCAAGTCCCTTTGATAAAATGACACAGAATTTACACATAGCCTATGCAAGTCTCCCATATGCTTTCAGTCTTCTCCAGATTACTTATAATGCCTACTGCAATGTAAACACTCTGTTAATGGCTGCAATACTGTATTATATAGTGTCAAGAAGAAAAAAGTTTGAACATGTGCAGACCAGACTCAATGTTTCCCAAATATTTTCCACCCACAGTTGGTTGATTCTGCCCCAAAGCAAGGCTGTTAGCAGTTTAATTCCAGGTTAAATGTCAAATCATCTTTGGCTTCCATTTAAAAGTTCACGCTTCATGCAATAGTATTCACCAAATTAGATCTGACTCAAGGTTTGCACAGCTCCAACCTTGTACTTATAAATAAGCCTTACTGGTCAGAATAATAACCTACATTTAATAGAAACTCACCAGAGGTTATGCTTTTGCCTATAAGGGCATCTCTACCCCTTTTCTCTGTAAGAGTGATAGTATCCTTACATGAAGGACAAGGAAACAGGCACAAGAGTAGGGTATAACTCCACTTTTCAAAATGATCTCAATGAATAAATATAGGAACTGGGGCTTGAACCAGTTGGAAGTCACCCTTCCAACCACTTCAAACACTGCCTCCCTAAGGGCAATCTGAACTCTTTTTATCCAGAGTTCTAGTTCATCTTTCTCACCTCTCTATCCCCACACCTACTCTCAACATCCACCTCCTTCCCAATCCCACCTTTAGTGCTTCCTTAACCCCAGTCGCTCCTCTCAGCCCCTGGTCTCACAGTTCATGCGGATTTGCTGGCCCAGTTCGGTCAGCTCCATCTCTGTAGGCATGTAACCCACGGTCCTCATGAGATTCCCCAAGTCCTTGTAAGAGATGAACCCATCACGGTCCTTGTCAAACTCAAGAAATGCTTCCCGGAGCTCTGGAAGTCAAGAGAGAAGAACATTGGGGCAACTTGTCACAGTCAGTGTGGAAGAGAGATATCCCTTGAAACTATCAATGAAGCACTGATTAGACATTCTTCAGAGAATAATACATTTAAAAAAGCCATGCATTTCAAAAAGGCGTGATGTATAAGATGTGGTAGCAAGAGGAATGACAACTGAGACTGCTAAGTAGAATATGGAAATCTTTAAATTTCTTGGGAAATTATTAGGAACCTCATAACCACCAAGGGAGAAAACCCAATAATTTTATATTCTTCCTAAAATACATGTGAGTCTCCTGACTTTCTGAAACATGTAGGGATGGGCATAGCTTTTAAAAACTTGGTGAGGGAGGTAGTTAAAATTGCACCAGAACAAGTTCCACAAAATTGTGGTTTATGGGAAGAGAAAGGATGTGAAATTTTCACATGAAGGAATTTTCACAGAAAGGCACAAAGAGTAGAGAACAGGGTAAGTGGGTGGATGGCTATGGGAGGGAACTTGGAGGAGGAATTACCTTCAATTTCATCTTGTCCCAGGGTTCTTTCCTGGAAAGGAATACATGGGAGAAGGAATTAGAGTCAGGAAACCAACACCCACTTCATCAAACATGTCCCTTGTTCCCCCCAAGTCTCTCCATACCTTTGTCTGTTTCTTTCTGCTCTTCCTCCATCTTTCATCTCCTTCATTGTATTGCATAGTTCGTTGCCTTCTTCCTCAAGCCCTCTTATTTCCTCTCTCCCACTCTTGAATTATTTTTGGCAGCACTGGGGTTTGAACTCATGGCTCCGTGCTTGCAAAGCAGGGCTCTATCACTTGACCATCACCAGCCCTTAAAGGCTTTAGTTGTTTTCCAGGTAAGGTCTCATTATTCTACCCATGGCAGGTCTCAGACTTTGATACACCTACCTATGCTTCCTTCATAGTTAGGAAGGTGTACAGCACCACATCCAGCTTACTATCTGAGAAAGGGTTTTTATCCAGGCTATCCTGGAATCAGGTTCCTCCAAATCTCCACTTCTCAATTAGCTGAGTTTAAAGGTATCAGCCACTGTTTCTGGCCCTCATCCTTGAATTTTGATCTTTCCCTACTGACATTCCAAGACAGCCATTCCTCATGTTTTGAGAGGGGTCTGAAACATCACACAGTCCAGTCTTCCCCTACAGATGGAGAAAGTGTGACTTAATAGCACAAGTAATCTGTTCAGAGGGCTGACTCTGTGCTGAGCTGTGTTTAAACCTCAGAACTCCTCTGTGAAGCAAATATTTCCCATGAGGAAGGTGAAGAAGAGAGGAAGAACCTACGGGACGTTCATAAATGGATGATCCTCTTCTGGGGGGTGTGGAATAATACTCACGTGAAGTCATGCAACAGGTCAAGTACAGGACTGGGGTTAGAATTCAGGGCTCCTGACTTCCAGGTCAGAATTCTTTCACTAAGTGCAATTGACTCTTTCCACAGCCACCTCCATCCTTCCTCCCATGGGTTAGAACTCCTTTGTGTAAGGATCACTGTGCAATGGCATTTAAGCAGGGTGCTCAGTGCCAGCAAAACCACTTCAAAAAACCTCTGAAAATTTCTAGTCATTGTTGCCCTACCGACTCATGGACACACTAGAACATACCAAGCTTTGATACCTGGCACAGGACCTGGGAAGTTCTACTAACCCTCACCTTCCTTTCTTTTTTTTTAGTGGTGGTGTTTGACCACAGCCTCGTGTTGCTAGGCAGGCACTCTACCACTTGAGCCACATCTCCAACCCTTTGTGCTTTACTTTTCATGTAGGGTCTTCCCACCACACCCAACTTATTGATTGAGATGGGGCCTTGTTAACTTTTTCCCAGGCTGGTCTCAAACTGACACCCTCTAGGTTTCTTTCTCCTGAATAGCTGAAATTACAGATATGAGCCATTGCACCTGTCCTAGCCTGGACCTCCTTTGCCCTCAAACCTCCCATTGTCCTTGGAGCCTTTCCCCAGCTTCTCTTTCTTATTATTTTCCCATGCAATCCTGTCCCTTTCCTTTCCTTTGTGATGGTCTTAAAGCCTAACACATTCCCACAAGAATCTAAAAGACTTCTTGCTACTTCCTAGCTTAAGGCAAAGAACTTCAAGAATCAGTTTCCTCACTGGTGAAATGGGAATAAAACTCACAAATTTTTCTATGGATTAAATGGAATTAGAAATGTAAAGCACAAGTCTGGACATGACTTAGTGAATAGCAGGTACTGTTATCATCATCTCCATTCTGAGGGTCCACATGAGAGAATGATCTCAATAGTGAGACCATTCCAGTTCCCCTTTGATTGCTGTCCTGCTTCCCACTACCTCTCCTTTTCTCATGACTTCTGATTTCACTCTCACCTAGGTATCTTGTTGACCCTCAGGACCCTCCATGTTCCCTGGGCTCTTCTGCCTTCTCAGTTCATGTTTCCTGCACTCATTCCCCTTTTCCATTGCACCAGTATGCCCCCTCCTTTTCCCCATGTCACAGCTCCCCTCACCCTGCACAGCAACTTCCCACCTCACCCGTTGTTTTTCAGCAATGCCCTTCCTCAGGAAGATGCAGGCAGGGCCCATGGGAAACTGCATGGAGGGCAGGTACAGCTCAGGCAGCCCTGGTGTCAAAACGGCCCCTCCTTCTTGCTCTATGAAGGCAGCCCAGTCTCCTGATGATCTCAATCCTTTACCAACTCTTCCTGTCCCTCTTGAACTCTCTCTCAGTTCCTGCGTCATAGAGCTGTGACAGCTGGGTGGGAAATCTCTTCCCTGGGCAGGAAGGGATCAGAGCTGTTCCTGCTTCCAGCAGCTGGCTGGAGTGAGATGGGAGGATTGATCCAGTCTGGGGCTGAGACGCTTTTATCCCCAGAATGGAATTGGAAAGGTTTGAAATGGGAATTAGAGTAGAGACAGCAAGTTTCCATTCATTTCATGTTCCAAAGAGCATTCTGAGTGTTCACTCAAGCCTGACAATGAAAGATAGTTTCTGGCCTCAAAAGAGTTTTTCCAACTAAGTCAGTAATATGTGCAAATGAGCAGGATGTAAGAACTGACTGATAAAGTCGGGCATGGTGGCTCAGGCCTATAATTCCAGCTACTTGGGAGGAAGATAACAGGAGGATCACAGTAAAAGACAGCTCAGGAAAGACCTCGAGAGACTCTGTCTCAGTAAGTGGGTTTGGTGGTATGTACCCATCATTCAGTTATGAGCAAAGTGCACACAGGAGGATCAAGTTCCAATGTGAGACCCTATCCAAAAATTCTTAAAGCAAAAAATGTTGAAGTGTGGCTCAAGTGGTAGAATGCCTGCCTAACAAGTGGAAGCCCCTGAGCTCAAATTTCAGTACCTACAGCCAAAAAAGAAAAAAATGAGAGCTGCCTGACATTAGAGCTTCTGGAAGTGAATGGGGGAATTCTCTTCCTCTGCTCATTCAGAGAAAGAAAGAGGCGGGAGAGGTGCGGAGGGTGAGAAAGTCATAGTGGTATCAGAGCCTAAACGGGTAATGGAGGCACTCACATGGTAGGGGGAAGGCAGGGTTCCCTTGGGGAAGTGGGGTGAAAGAGTTGCTGTGGAAAGATAGCATGGCAAAGAGGGTGATATGGTCTGCATGTAGTTTGAGTGTGCCCCCACTCAGAGATCTTGTGTTGGGAGCGTGCATCTCAGTATGAGGTAGATTTCAGTGGGATGTCATTGGAGTGCTGTCCTAGGAAGGCATTCATGTAGTCCTGATGGTACCCTCAGTTAGTTCCTGAGAAAGTGAATTGTCATAAAAGAGTGAGCCTGACCCCTTCCCAGGCCATGGCTTCCTGTCTCACCTTGTAGTCTCTCTGCATGTGTTCCCACCGTGATCCTATCCACCATGGGATGTAGCCAAGGAGGCCTTCACCAAAGCCCAGCTGATGCCAATGCCAGGCCCATGAGCCCCCAAGACTCTGAGCTATATAAAAATCTCTTCTTTATCCAGTACCCAGTCTTGGACACTTTGTTGTAGCAATGGAAAACAGATTGGTACATGGGGCCGGAGAAGGTGACAGTTAACCCATTGAAAAGCAACTTGGCTTGGAGTGCTGGAACACAAGGTGAGTGATGACAGTGTCTATGAGCAGGCAGGGTCCAGGGTGGGGATTTGTATTTAAGTGTGCCAGGAAGGAGTTCACATGTGGGGATATCATAACCCAGAAGAATGTCTATTTGTGGAGGCAATGAGGTGCAGGGGTTGAAGTCAGGTTAGGATAGAAAGGCATCCCCACAGGGGTGGGAAGGCAACAGAGAAGACAGATTGGTTACAATTGGAAATTCTATTAAGAATAAAGGGAGCCAGGTCTTCTGCTGTTGGACAAGAGAGTGTCTAAATAGAAAGGGCGACAGGCAGAAGGAGGCCTGTGGTGTTGGATGGATCTGGAGGCACTGGTGTGTACTCATTGATTTCAATATGGAGAATGGGAGATAAAAATACACATAGTCTCAGTGTGGACAGGAAATTTGTACATATTCTTTAGCTCTCTCCACTCAGAGGACAGAGAAGTTCACCCCAATACTACTGATCACCTCTGGATTTGTGTATGTGTGTGATATTGACAACTGCACCCAGAGCTTCATGCTTGCTAGGCAAGACCTCTACCACTTGATTTGTATCTCCAGTCCTTTTGTGTTTTTTTTTCTTCTTCTTTTTTACTTTTGAGACAGATTTTCACTAACTTTCCCAGATTGGATTTGAACTCATTATTCTCCTGCCTCTGCCTCCTGAGCAGATGGGATTTCGATAGGCACCATCACCCCCAATGAGAGTCTCAATCTTTACTTCTCAATACTAATCTCCAATAAAAGGAACCAAGGATTCTAGGAAGATAACTGATTCCATGTCTGGAGCAGGAAATAAACAAGGGGAGCCTGAGACATCTTGTGCTATAAAGTGAGGGACTGCTCAGAGTCATAGAGACATGCAGAAACAACACAGAACTCAGCTCAAAGAAATTCAATGCCTACATTGGGCAAGTTGACAAATCCAAATAAATGATGACACTGCCAAATTATACAATATACCATTGGAGCCAGGAGTCCATATAAATAAAAATTAAAAGATAAGTGAAAAGTTGGATGTGAAATACTAGTCCCAAGGGAACAAATTCATACTGGAAATAACATAGTCAGATGATTGAAATGAGCATCTGCAGTAATGGGTTCAACTGAAGACAGCATTGGTCTGTGGTTTTCCGGAATCTAATCGGGGAAGACATCAGACACGTCCAGATGGAGGGATGGTTTACAAAGTAAGTGTTCCTCAAGCTTCAAGTTGGTCAAGGTCATGAGAATCAAGGGAAGACTGAGGAACCACTGGTGAAATGACCCAGTGAAACAGAATTCTGAGCAGTGATTTTGCTACAAAGGTCTTTACTGGACAACTGGTTAATGCTGTCAGTTGTTGGCATTCCTTGGCTTGTAGGGATATCTCTGCAACCTTGGCCATTGCATCCCCATGGCCTTCTACCCGTGTGTCTATCTCCATGTCCAAATTCCCCCCCTTTCTACAGAGGCACTAGTCATAGTGGATTAGCACCGACCTTGATGATTTCATTTTAATTTCCTTACATCTCTAAAGTTCTTATTAAAAAATAATCTCACATTCACTAGTACTGGTGATTATGACATCAACATATTTTGGGGGACAAAATTAAACTCTTATGAAATCTTTAATTTTGGTAAGTCATTTTTTCAAAACGGGCTGAGGGTGTATCTCAGTGGTACAGCAATTGCTTAGCATCTTCCAGGCGCTAGCTTCCATCACCAGCACAAAAAATGAATTAAAGCATAAAAAATAATGTCTCTTGAACACTCAGTGTATGCTAGATGCTATTCTAAGACCTTGGTACTTGGTAACTCATTTGAGTCCTTGCAGGATACAAGCACCTTGGTTATCCATCCTGTGATGAAGAAACTGGGTGCAGAGGCAAAGAAACTTCCCTATGCTCTTGTGGTGAATGGGTAGCAGGATCAGGATACAAGCACAACTGTGGATCCTTGAGGATTGGCCACTGAGTTACAGGTGGAAGGGGTAGAAAGGAGAGGAGGCAGGGATGCAGGGAGGAGGAAAGGGGGAGCAGAAAAGGTGGCCAATGAACTTGATCCCTGAAGAAGATGGAAGGGAAGAAATGAGGGGTAGGTGGTAACACACAGAAGGCAGGTGCTGAAGAATGATGGGAAATGAGACCATTTTCATGGAGGGTGGAAGGGGATGCCAAATGGTTACAGCAGATCAAGAAACACATGTAGTCAATCCATCTACTCATCCATCCATCCGTTTAACTCTCCATCATCACATATACATGGAGCACTTGCATTCTCAGAGCTCCTTGGCTCTGAAGAGAGAGACCATGATTTAGATCAAGATCCCTCCTTCTGTTGAGTCAAACCACCTGGCTGGGGTGCACGATGAGCAGATATGACATAATAAGACATAAACTAAGTGGCTTTGGTCATAACCATTGCATTCCTTTTGGCCACGTGGACATTGGACATGGTGGCTCTGCTGGCCTGAGAATTGTGCTTTATTTCTAAGGTCTCTTGAGTAATTGTAGGATGTACTTCACCGCCTACAGTTCTGGGACTCATTGTAATGATGCTGTCAAAGATGTGTGCCAGCTGGTCATTGGAAATGGGCTCAGTCAGGATGGTCAGACCAACTGGATGGTATGGCAGGCATAGCTGAAGGGAGTGGAGAACAGGAGGGCAGGTGGACAGCTGGGCCCTGGTAGACCAGCAGGCTGCTGCTGCCCTGGAAGCAGCTCCTGTGTGGCTCATGTCACTCAGGAACAGCTGATGGAGGACATGAGGGGAGCACACATGGCGAGGACTTGGGCATGGCCACTCCCACAGTAGATCCTGGTAGAAGGGAGTTAGAGGTCCCCATTGTCTGTTACAGGCAGCACTGCACTTTCAACAAGACTAGAGGAATTGAAGTCTCTACAGATCATGCATAACTTGGGAGAGAGACAGTCACTCGCTCACTGACATTGCCTAGATTTAATCCCAACTCCACAACCTACTGTGAGCTCCTATAGTCTATATCTGATGTGGAAATATTTGTTTATCCAACACTGAATTCTAAGCCCATGCTCCCAGATCTAGGCTAGGATCTAATTCTTCAGTCTCTTAAATGTCGTGATACCTACCAGAATTCTCAGGATATGATCTGTTCCACTGTCAGACCAAGAGCAACTCCCCCAGGTGGTGAAACCGCAAGGGTCCAAGAGAATAAAGACGTCCTCAGAAGGAAAGATCATTATGGACTTACTTTAATTAATTATTCATAACTCCTGTTGTGATGTCTTTACAGAGGAGGACACAAAGGTTTAGACAGGGCATATCTGATCTGCTGAGTCTGAGATTTGAACCTTGACTCTGAATCAGGAGCTGGTTCCTAGACAGTCACAGATCCCAGAGCTGTTAAGATGTCTGGGGGCAGGACCTGGGGAGGGAAAGATGAGAAGGAAGTTTACAAGTGACCCTTTTTTTTTGCAGTACTAGTAATTGAACTCAAAGCCTCATGCATGCTAGGCCAGCACTTTACCACACTTTGGCTCTCTTGCTTTGGTTATTTTTGAGATTGGGTCCCATGTTTTTGCCTGGGGCTGTTCTGAACCACAGTCCTCCTACTTATGGTCTTCCAGGGTAGTTGGAATCACAGGCACATGCCACCACACTAGGCTTATTTGTTGAAATGAAAACTTTCTAATTTTTGCCCTGGCTGGCCTTGAA